CTTTCATTCTGAACCAGTATAAGTTTTGATTTAATATTTACTAGAGCAATACTTTCCTCCTTTGTAAGTAAACCGGCTTTCTATAATCTAAAATAAATTTATAAGGCGTCATGCTGCTGAAAAATATGTTCAAAAGTATTACAAGTACCCTAGTAAAAGTGCATATGCATTCTAAATGAAAAGCCTAGACTACTCTATTGATCTCTAAAATTTTGATTTGTTTAAAAAACACTTTAATTTGATCGACTTTTGGTTGGGTTATCCCGCATATTGAACATGTTTATACTCCCCCTTAACACACTCATTCATATTTACCTTCTACTTAACACTGCTCCAAAAAGTAGTATTTTTTCCCAGTAATTTTGTTCCCAGTAATTAATTCTTTAAACTCTAACAAATGTTTCCAAATTTTTCTGCTAAAAATACAACAAAACTTTAAACCTAAAACCAACCGACCAATCGCTACAGAGAAATTGAACTTCGACACAAACACGATTTGAAGGATCTGAAAGCAGCGTATGACACCGAGAAATCGGCCATGGACAAGCGTGATATCAGCAATACGAACGAAATTGAGCAGCTCCATCGGAAATGTCGATGCCTGACAAATCTGTAAGTAAAAATAAAAACTTAAAAAACACCAAAAAGCTCAATTGGTTAAAATGAAAAGCTTAAAAGCTCGGTAGCTACAAATCGAAAAACGTAAAACATATCTCGAAACTTTCAATATAAATTTGTTTTGAAAATCTGTATACTCTTAATTAAATGCATCAATATGCGCTAGCACTGCATAAGCTTTCGGTGGTCGCTACTGCGCATAAATTCTAAAAGCTCGACGATATAAATGTTGTAATTACAAAATTAACCCAACAAAGTCAATTGGTACAAATTATAGTAGCGATAAAGAAGATGAGCTTTCACGCTTACAAATGCTTTCACTTAAAGCTTTTATTTTTATACACTATATTATTTTTTTATAGCTTTGAGGAGATGCGCATGCGCTATGAACGGCGCGATCCGCGACCCGAAGATCTGCGCGAAATCGAAGAGCTGCGAACGCGTTGCGAGTCGCAAGAGCGTGATCTATTTGAGCTCACTGATCGCTTGCGTGAAATGCAAATACAAATGACTAATATGCAAGAGGCTAATGGTGAAGCGGGCAAAAAGCCTGCGAAGCCTGTGAAGAAGCCACCACCGAAAACGATACCAACAAATTGTGATGTCATCTACGAAGATGAAAACGAAGAACGTGAATCACCACCCCCACAAACGCCCACAAGCCGTACAGCAACAGCACTAAATGAAGACGAAGAAGATGCGGAAGATGCGGAAGACGATGATGATGATGATGATGATGACGATGAAGAAGTGGACCAAGATCAGAAAGAAGAAACAAAGGAAGTTAAGACCCAACAGGTTGCGAATAATCAAGCGAAAATCGTCCATGGCGATGCCAAAACTGCCAATCTCATAATTCCGAACAAAGAGCTCAACAAGAAGAATATCAACACAATCAACGAAGATGATGAGAGTCACATGATAACAGCGATGTAATCGCCTTGAAAAGCTCATTAAGTTGCAATGCTTTTATGGGCTTATTGATACTCGGAGCTTTTAGCGAACGATTACTTTTAAAAACTTTTTCGAGTTAAGAGCGAAGAAAGCGTTCAACGCCTCGAAAGTTTGGTACCCGTTACCGTTACGCTGATTTCCTAAACTTCCTTTAAACTTTACGCGCCCACACGCACACAGAAACATCTAAGTGTGCACACATACACTCAAACACTTTTCTGAAAATGCTTTGCTTATTTTGTTGAAGAATGGATTATGTTGGAAATTTTAGTTACTCTATTTATATAGAAATTGTTACATAGCTACATAACCTCACCGTTACATCGGAGAATATGTGTACACTCACAAACACACAAATGAAAACATTTAAATATTATTATATTGACTAATGCTGCAAAACGGCTTGATCAATATTTTTATTTAATATAATTTAATTTTTGGCCCTTTTCGAAAGCTCATTTTTTCTGAAAAATACTATAAAACCTTAAAGCTTCGAAATTGTAATATTCAAACGATTTAGTTGTTAGAAAGCGAAAAAAAAATTATATAACCAAAAAATTAAACTAAATTTAAGTGTAAAAAAATTGTAAAATTTTAAATAAAAGTGAAATTAATAATTAATATTTGTAACTGTAGAAATTGAATTTTTATTTCTTGTTTAGAGTTGTTAAGGTTAAGTACTAAAGCGAAAGTACGATAAGTGGATCTTGAACAAGTCATATTAGAAATTTATTTAAAACATAAGCCTACGATTGGTATATGCCTAGTTCTGGACGGCCTCTTCAGCTGATAAAAATGAAGGATATGATGCTTGAAAATCGGCAGGCAAGTTTAATTTATATTGCCACCAATATGGTGTAATATCTGAAAGTGTTAGCTCCGAAGTGTTTGAGTCTTAATTTGGTAAAGTGGGAAAATTGGCTCGTCTTCTTTCATACGGCTTCTGAAGATGGTAAGATTCTCAACCTTATGGCAAGGAAGACAATGGCCTGTTATCAATATAGATTTATAGTTTCTGCTAAACTACTTCAGATCAATAGCTGTGCAGTACTTTTATAAAATTTATTTCCAGGTTTACAGAACCCACTGGGTAAGACGTATTTCTTTTAAACATTTATAAAAAAAAATCAATAAAAAAGTTTTCAAAAACTGTTTCCAATTTTTGCAATTTTTAATTACTTAATTACATATTTCAAATATCAATCTTGTAATGATTACTCTGTTGCATGTGGAACATAAGACTTTTTTTTAATAAGTATTGACTTAAGTTATTCCACAATTGGAAAGAGTGGAAATAAGAGCGAAACTAAGAGATTCGTGCTTGTTCGAATTTTCGGTACTCCAACTGAGAGGCGAGGTGTATTTCTTGTTTTGTATACAAGAAGCCGGCACACTCGAGGGTTCTGCTGTGGATGGTATTTAAGAGGTGACCAGGTGACAAAACTAAATGATTAATTTTTAAGTTGTTTTATATAATGATTAAGTACATAGATGCAAGCAAGTTTTATTACTTACACCACTGAAACTGTAAAGAATATTCATAACAAAATATGTTTAAATAAATTGGTTATAAACTGTTCGTTCGATAGTTTTGTTGTTGAGGGCAACCCTGCACAAAAGTATGATTAGAACGCTTAATCTATCAATTATGACCAATTGATAGCAACAACAACACAAACAATAGTTCAATTATTTCTTGTGCCGATCGCATTAGTGGAATTACATATGCGGCGAGCATGGCAAGGTGGCCGATCAAGCGATTGACCGACCGTTCAGTCGCCTAAGCAACGAAGCGCCTAAACAGGTTTCACCTTATTAAAAGTACTCGAATCAACAGCTTCCACTACAATTGCGACAAAAACTCGAAAATTCCTGTTTTGCTAAAACCCATTCTCAGCAGCAGAAAAAAAAATTAGTTGAGGTTTGAGCATTTGCTGGTTCGTAAGATTGTATTTGGCTGCCTTACATTTCTACAAATGTGACTACACAACTATTTGTTGTTGCTATAGTCACAACTATCGTTTCGCTCTTACAACTTTGCCAATGCATGTGTTGGTGTGCGTGTGATAGATTCGATTAAGTTCGAAGATTTGGATGCTGGAGTTCAAGTGTTGTACTGCCCGTTCCACCGCCCACCTCCCAATATCATTTTGCACCTTCACAGTGTTTCTCAGTTAATTCAACGCGCTCATATTGCTTAAAACCTGCTGCTGCTTGAGGGAGCCGGACTTCACTTTTTGATTGTTGCTGCAAGTTGTCTTCGTGTTTTTTATTTTGTTTTTATTGTTATTTTCTTTAATTCCAACTCTTCTTTACAACTTCGTTTTGTGGGAGAGTTTCGAATTTAATATTCTCGGAGCGCATTTTTGACAGAAGTGGGTGTTTTTCGAACTTGACGTGCACTCTTAGTAGTGCTCTTCTGAAAGGGCGGTTTGCTATTAACACAGTTCATCCGTCTAGGAAAATGCTGCCTGATCTAGAGCTTAATATGTATTGATGGGAACAGTATGTAATTTTAGATCTATGTAGTTACATAATTGTTAGGTTTATTTTATAGAAATATTTTCGAGGTAGCAGTAAGTTCTAGATTCAAAAATTCCTGCTCTTTGACTCTCATACAAAGAGAGACAAATTGTGGATTTTAAAGTCCAAGAACACTACATTGTTGTTATGCACACTACATGAAAAATTTTTCCGTCTTTGGATAGTTGAGACTTTATTCAAATTTATTTTCAGTATAGAGTTTTCCGTCATATACTTAATTGTGAAAAAAATTAAGAAGAATTCTGGTGATTCTGAATATAATGTGTTTATTTCTATACCGATTTTTCGGAAAAAGGCGAAATAAAGTGGAAGTCGTGGAGAAATGAAGTAGGAGGCAGAAAGAAATAAAAGAAAGTTTGGATTTATGTATATTTTCTAAAATATAGCAAGTTGTCTATCCTTAATGACCACTTGTAAGAGATTGTACGGCATAGATATTTTGATATCATAAGTACAAGTCACTATACTAGTTCTAAAATTCTTTCAAGAATTATTGTATTAAAAAAAGAAAACATATCCAATACTCCCTCGATTTCATTGTATTTGCAATGATATTACATTTTTTCTAACATGCGTGCAATTTTTACTTTTCCAAATTCCTACCTATCCTATTGATTCAGTATTTTATCCCATTCCATAGTTTTGGAGCCTTCTCTCTTCTACTCTCTTGACTTGCTCAATTGCCTTTTCACACATTCGTACACGATTTCGAACTTCGAACTGGTTTCCCGAAGCAAATGTCGCGCATATCGCATCTGCTGGACTCCACAAGCTAAGCGACGTCGCTGCGGCGCGTTCCAATATTGCTGCCACAGAGCGTTGCCGTTTTGCTGATTTGCCGTCGAGGCGCTGCGCTGCATTTTCAGTTCGGTTTCGTGCATTCACGTATTTAGACGTATAATAAATGATGTCCGTGCGCTAAGAATGCGGTAATTCGCGTTGTTTGTGTGTGTGCATTCTGTGAAGAAATGAAAACATAAAGCAAGAATTAAGTTCGGAACAAATAAATGGAAGTGTTAACAATTCTAATAGATTTTTGTGCAAATACTAAATAATACTGAAAATAAGAAATTCGCGTGTGTTTGTTGTGTTAGGGGTGTCTAAAGAGTAGCAGCAGCACAGCATCCGCCAGCACGTTGTTGGTGTTCAAGGAGCGGCAGACAGTGCAAAAACGTCGCCGCCCTAGCAAATAATGAAGTAACGGTGCATTCTGGCTGCGCCACAAGCGTGAAATGAATGAGTGAAGTGGCAAGTGAATGAATAACAAAGCAGTGATAATCACGCAGTGTGGCATAATGTTATTGAAAAGGTTGAATGCGACCAGTGCCAAGTTTTGAATGAAATTGCCGCTCCAAGTTCTCCCAATACAATATTAATTACAGTCTTGAGCACAAAATCTAATTGACTTTCTCGATTAAGCAGCGACAAGTTAACTTAAACGCATGAATTTGATTGTGAATCCGCGTGTTGCAAGCAAAGTGTATTGTAAATAGCACAATTCAAACGTGGGAGTTCTGTTCCTTCAAAGGTCGCGTCAAAGGTCAAATAAACAGAAGTCTTTTGTGAAAAGCAATTTAGAGATATAAGAAAATTTAAAATTTTCATTGTGGCATTTTCATGTTGCATTTTCATGTTGCAAGTTGCGTGACATTGTGAAAATATTGTAACGCCTCTTCAGTGCGGAATAATAATTTAAATCAAGCGTTGTAAACAACAACAACGCGCTATAAAAATAAACAAATTTGAAATTTCTCACATTTATAACCCTGAGCTCTGCCACGGACTTTTTCTCTTCCAGCTGAGCATCATCACCTATAGCAAGCAGGCGGCTCATAGGCCTTCTCGTCAACATAAGCACCTTGGCTGACTTTACGCCTGCAAGAAAAACGCACAATAAGTAAATAAATAATTTTCAGCCGCAGCAAAGTCGTCTCCACCAGCCTTGGGCGGCCCCAAAAATGTGAGTATTTCCATGAAAATTTTACGTAGAATGTTAAAAATACCAATCAAGCGCTCAAAGGACGACTACTCGCCGCGTCCGTCCACCCCAACAGCTGACGTAGCCGCACACTTTGTTGCTGGTTTCATTTTAGGCATTTTATTATTTTATTTTCCTGCAATTTTGTCTCTATTTTTACGGCTTTCTGCCACCTTAACCTTCTCTTCGCTCGCGTGTTGCGCTCCACTTGCCATTCCAATTGGATTTGTGTTTTCTGAATTTGTTTTCGAGTTTTCTTTTTTTTTTCTCTTTGCCTTTACGCAGTTTTCTGCCTCCGTGCTGTTACACTTTTCTTCACTTGCCTCGCAGTGTTTTCGTTTTCGCTTTAAGTACTCAGCAACGAAATCCTTTTCGGCAGGAGTTCTTGTATTTTATTGTAATTCCCGCTATGCAGGATATTTAAGGATATATTTAAGCTGCTTTATTGATTGCACCCGGTGTTTGGGAAATCTGCCTCAGCCTGTTTAAGTTGGCTATATTGTATGAGTGTGCGTGTTCTTCGGTGTGCTCTTTTGGCATGTTTTGTTTGTGTTTTTATTTTATGTTTTGCTTTCGTTGTTACTTTTGTTGCTTTTTCCACTCGCTGGGGCCCTCTGGTCCTGTGCTGTGCCTCAGCGCCTCAACCATGCCAGAGGTGTCTTCTGCGCACACCGCTCAGCCTGCTCGGCGTGTGGGTTTGTCAGCTTGTCTCACTGCCTGTCTGTCGGTCGGTCGCTCTGTCGGCGTGTGTGCCTTGTGCCTGCCTGCCTGTTGTTTTCAGTCACCAGCTACATATTTGACTGCCGCCTGCTTCGTTTTCGGGGTTGAAACATTAAACCATCTCAGTCCCTCTCTGGGCTCTTAATGCTATTTTCTTATCGATGAATGGTTGAATGAATGAATGAAGAAATAAATGTTTGCCTGTGTGTGTGTGAGTATGTGCGGTTTTCTGAATGCGTTTTTGATTGTATGTACATAACCCGAAATGGTAAACGGATTTACTGACAATTGTCGAGCGTAGAAATCAAATCTTTTGGGTTTCCCTAATTGCTGCTTAGATTTCATTTGATTCCGTAGTTATTCGGCTTTGTTTCGAATTCGAACAATAGTTTTAATGAAAACTATAGCAGTGAAATAACGGTATGTGTTTAAGAATATTTTGAAAATAAAATTGGTAGTTTTTTAATACATTTTATTTTATTTCAGTTCAAGTTGGCCAAAATAAAAACATAAAAATATGAAAAATTAAGAAATTACAATTTTTTTTAGAAAATTCAAAAATTGTAATTTTAGTGTTAAATGTTTAATATATTTGACACCTGTCTCTTATACACATCTAGATGTGTATAAGAGACAGTATATATATATGTATATATATATATGTATATATATGTATACATATACTATAAAAATACATACATATGTATAACTGTAAAGTAAAATATTAAAGTAATTTATTTTTAATAAAATTAGAATTTTTTAAAATTTTAAACTTTTTGTTTCGGTATTTGGATTATTGTAAAAGGAATAAATGAATATTTTCGAGAATCTCCAATTTCGTCTCTTCTGTATAAATACATATTTACAACTGTAAAGTAGAATGTTTTAATATAATTAAAATTTTGGAAATTTTAAATGTTTAGTTTAGGTAATTTTGATTTTGTTGCCTACTTTGTCTCAAAAATTTTTGATTTTGATTTTCTCTTCGTATTTTCTAAGTATATTTCAAATCCTTTTTTTAATAAAAAAAATTAAATTTTCAAGTAAAAAAAATATTTTTTGATTAATTTTTTTTTTAAACAATTTAAAACTTTTTTCCTCGAAAATTTCAAAATTGGTTGTGCTTACCAGTCTAGTATTTTAAATTTTGCTATTTGCTCTCACTTTTAATTACAAAAAAAAAAAAAAAATGTTTAAATGTAAAAATGGGATTGTAAGGAAAAAAATAATATTATGTATAAAAAAAAATTTTTTTTAATAATTTTTTTGTTTTAAACAATTAAAAATTTTGCTCGTCGCAACTTTCAAAATTGATTGTGTTAAGCAGTGTAGTACTTTAAATTTTGCCATTTTCTACCTTTACAAAATACTTTGCTTTACTTTAAATATAAAAATAAAAATTTTTATGAAAAAAGAAAATTATACAGTATTTTTTAAATGTAAAATATTTTTTAAATACAAGTTATGCTCTTATTTTTAACTTTTTTTAAAGTTACCCTTAAATCATATTACATTGTTGTTTTTATTTCATTAAAATTATTTCTTTAATTGTTTCAAAGTAGTGTTCATGAAATTTCAAACTTTCAAATTTTCAAAAAGTTTGGTCCTTAAATTTTTTAATTTTTCAAAAATTCTAGTACTTGCCTTTTATTTTTGTTTTTAAAAGCATAAAAAATATTTCTGTAGTATAAAAAATATTCAAAACATTATGTTTGAAATTTTAGAAAATTCTAGAACTTTTTTATTTCTAGTTTTTTGTTTTAATAAATTTAAATATGGTAAAATTTAACATTACTGACTGTCTTAATAACCGGACATAGCTGAATAAAATTCATGAACACAAAGTTTCTATAACTGAACGTTCTTCTAGAGAACATGACAGAATTATTTTAATTAAAATTAAATGAAAATAATTCTTTTTGTATTCTCTGTTTGCACCTTCTCATTATTTTCTCGGTTCGATCAGTCGGTAGATCGCGGACACTATTTCGATAATATTTTGTTCAATTAATCTCTGATAGACAGACAAAACCTACTAGCTGTTATGAGGTTTTGTCTTTTGATTCACCGCACTTATTTTTAAAGTATTCAAAAAATAGTATTCAAACTTCAATGATTTTTGAAAAAATCTCAACAAAGACCAAAAATATCTGTAAAACATTTAACATCTTTTATTCATTTATATAATACTCATATGAGTCCTCTAGTACATACATGCAAGGTATATTTTCAGTAAATTCCAACAATTACAAATGAGTTAGGAAAATATCTTTACTCTTTACCAATATCAAGTGGCTGAGTTCAAGCAGTGCATGCCGCAAGTGTCTGCAAATAATGTGGCACGTTTGTGCAATGAAGTCGCCAATGCCAACGCACTTGACACCACGCCGCCGCCGAAGCTGAAGCCGCCAATTACGCTAGAAATAAATACCAGCAACACTTTGGTGTTAAAGCCAATTCCAAAAGCAGATAAAAGTCCAAGCAGACGAGAGCGGAATGTGGCGATTGAAATAAGTAGAATCGCAGCGAAATTACGAGTAAAAGGCAGCGCGGCACAAGAGGCAAGCACAAAGCGCTGGAATTGGAAAATTGTTAAATAAATTAAAGCGCTGGAATGCGACAACACGCGCTCCTTTTACGGCGCGCTAGAAGTAGCTAAATGGAGCAGCATTGCGTTTGTCTCTCTGTACATGTTTGTATGTGTGTGTGTGCACCAAAGGCAGCATAATAAATATAAATGCGCTTGTGGAACTTAATCCAGCACAAAGCTGGACTCTGGCGTGCTTAACTGTGCGGCGCTCTCAGGCGAACCGAACTGGCGACTTGATTAGTGGCAGCCACAGCTGTGTGAAATGCACCAGGCGACATACATTAATTCAAAGTGAAATATGCAATCCATATGCAATGCGGCAACGCAGCGCCATTAGACCGCTTTTATACCAAAGAAATCCCGATGTTGGAAACGTGCACAGCATTTGTTGCCAATGGCCGTTGCAAGTTGGATTTTAATGAAGAACGAAGATTGTGTGAAAAACTTGCTTTAATAACTGATAATGACAAGCGACTTGCAAGCGCCGGATATAATGAACGCTGATGATGTCAAATATGGTGGATATTACAAATAATTGTCCCTGGAATTCTTGAAGTTGCATATAAATTTGTTGAAGATTCTGCCTCCAATAGGAAATGCCATATAATGAAGGAACTGGTCAACTTTGAGAAAAGAGGAAAGACACCTTCTTCAATCTACGTTTATATTCTCTAAGCTTTTCTTGGTTCAAAAATCACCCTATCTTCGTTGACAGTTCTTGGTCCCACATAAATGTATGCCTCTCGGGTCTTTAGTGTTATTTGTAGTCGGTTCCAGCAAAGGATTATTGGCTTATCAAATGTACAGTCAAATATTTTTAGTATCCCTCAGCTTTTTTTTGATCCTTTTGATATTTCCTGGAATTATCCTTAAATTTGCATATGCTCATTTAAGTCCAACAACGAAAAGTATATAAAATTAAAATCGTTTTCTCCGATAGTCAGTAATTGTCCAAAAGCTTGGAAAATGGTGCTTATCGAGAAATCGATTAACCGAAATCATCTGATAAATGTTGCCCGAACTGGCAAAACTATATTATATCTTTAGTAATTAATATAAATCCTTATTATTGTCTTCAAAATTTCTTAAAGCTTGAGTCAGTGTAGAATTTTGTCAAAGTTTAATCCAAATAAGCTCGGATAGGCAATCGGTATTTTCAGCGAGTTTTGGTTTCTTCGGCTTTGGCTCATTTACATAGTTTCGATTCCATATTCATGAGCCCTCGCTAAATTGATAAGCATCTCTTTCCTGTAATAAAGGTCGTTTTTGCAAAAGATTCAGGTATTTTGTTACGAACCTTGCATTGACACGCTTTCTACCCAGATCATTAACCAAAATGTCTTAAGTAGTTTCATAAGAGAATTTTAGATCCTCTGCTAACTCTCTGATGCTAACACAACGACTGTCAGGCAAAGCTTTTTAGCAGAGGTGGATAGACGACTGGAATCAGCCAAGGGTTCGTTGACTTCATGAGCTTCACTGCATGATTGCGGCACTGTAATACTTTTTTATTAATATTGTTTTCTATAGTAGGGGAAATTATCGAAAGCCGGAGTCCGGAACTTTAATCCGCAAAACCTAATCTACTCCCAACTCAACCGGGTCTCCCACGGAACCACCAGTTAAGTTTTATTTCGACTGGGGCACAAGACATTTAAGTCTCCTCTATTGT